TTTCAACCCACATTTTAGCTTCTAAAAATTCTAAAAATAATAGAAAATATTATTAATTTTGTAAATTTTTATAATTATATAATTATATATAAATAATATATGTTAAATATAAATTAATACCATTATTTAAACCCATTATATACATAGTACCAAGAGAATCAACTATAGTGAGACCTAAGCCAAACCATTCATAATATTTTCTTGATATTGGTTTTATATTATCATAACCCCAAGCATATTCTTTATATCCATTCCATGAATGTTTGAATGCTGCAACTATAGCTTTCTGTCTATTATTCTGTGGTCCTAAAATAAATAAATATAATATTATTAATAAATAAAAAAGTTTAATAATTACAAAGATATAATATTTAATACAAAGTTACCATTAAATTTAAGTGTATTTGGTTTAGGTTGAGGTGGTTCTCCAATTTGATCATCGTCCACCTGGTTTATTTCTGGTTGGAATTCAGGTTCCTCAATGACCTCCCCACCTCCTTTATGTTCTTGATTTATATTATCTACTACAATATCTTCTGCTGCCTAAAAAATTATTTAATTTTTAGAGAAACTATATAATATAAAAAAATGTTTCTTCTTTGATATAAATCTCATTTATATTGAATTAATTGTACCTTTTCATATTTAAGAGTATCTTGTACTACTTCTATGTTATTATAATCACTTTCATCTAAAACTCCATTTTTATTATCACCAGGTAAAAGATAAAATATAACTAATATGATTGTAATAATTAAGAAATAAAGAATATTTCTTTGAAACCTTGACAATTGATTCCATTGCTGAAAAAAAAAATTTTTAATTGTGAATAATTTTTTAAAAAAGATTACATTGCTGGGAAAAATATTTTACAGACTTACTCTCCAAAGACTACGTGATGATCCTCGCGTAAATGTTGCACTTTCTTGGATATTTAAACTAATATAATCTGATTTCTCCAAGTCTTTCGGTGGAAACATATTTCATCAAAGGTTAAGTTGTTCTGGCGAACGTAATGATAATAAGAGCCAGAACACTTTAAAAAATGATAATATGATGATTGCTTATCAATTATGAAAGTCTTCATTTATAAAATTCATATCGAACATGTTGCTATTTAGTTTCCTATTAATAAAATTTAGAAAAATAAATTCACACCGCATGAATGTCATGAACCATCAATGCCGTGATGTTAAACTCTGATACTACGAAAGTTAATAATTTGAGTTTATAATTTTAGCATTAATTTTATTAATTTTATTATAATTTTATTAAATTTTATTAAATTATAATGTAATGTTATCAATTGAATAAATTTGTTTCATGAATTAACACTATAATTATATGATAGTGACGATCAAACGATTAATATTAAAGTATTATAAATATATACTATTTGTAATCATTATTTAATTGTTAAAAACAAAGATATTGTTACAAATAGAAAAAAATTTTAAATAACATAATAAATATCCAATGGATTCTCATTATTCGATAAATCTTATTTATATTAAAGATTTTTATTTACATGCTTATTCTTATTTCAACTAAATATATGTGCACGCACGTAATAAATAAAAAAGAATTTTTACCATAATTTATAACATATGGATTTTATTCAAATATATATATATATATTATTTTTATATATCATATACTAAATATATATAATATATATTATATAATTATAAACATTTATAATATATTTTATGTGTATATTTTTGTATTTTTCTTTTTATTACATATATATATTATTTTTTATATTTTTACATATTATGTACATATAATATATCTTTATCTTTTTATTTTCTTTTCTTTCATTTAAGGAATTTCTTTTTTTTAATTTTTTTAAATATTTATGAGTTTTTTGAAAATTTAAATATAAAATTATTTACGATACTTTTCAATTAAATATTTTTAAACATATTAAAGATATACTATACAACTGAGAATGTAATATTTTAACATTAAACATTAAAATATCGTAATTTTGAAAGAGAAATGATAAAAATATATTCAGTTGATCTCTTGCATCTTGTCGTGATCACGAAATATAAACAGAAGAGGAAAAGAAATAACGGGATAGAGATAAATGAATTAGAATAAATAAATTAAAGAATCAATATTATTTATTATTATATTTTCAATTATTATTTATTATTATATCTTCAAAGATGATATCACAGATGAAACAAATATAAAAAAGGAGAAAGAAAAACAGAAATAGAAAAAAAATCATATAATCAGTGCAATTTTTAGAGTACGACAAACGAAACTAAATAAGTAAGGATAACAAATAATAAGAAAAGAATATAGATAGAATAAAAATTCACTAACGCCATCTCTTGAGCATTTTTAGAAAAATGTCTTTGGCACTCGAGAGATGGAACTGTTCCTTAATTGTTAATCTACTTTATCTACTTCTTTTTAAGAAGTGTCTTTGTTACTCAAGAGATGGCATTAATAGTTAATTCTTATACTATTTCTATCTTTTTTTATCCTGATTATTCTTTTTATTTATGTTTTATGTAAATTTCAAATTAAAATTTCAAATTAATAAAGATTCGTTGAGAGAGACATCAAATATATTTATTAATTTAAATGATCTAGATTTTTTTAATGGGATATAATGTAATATATAATATAATATATTGAAATATTTAATTAATATATAATAATTCAAGATTTAATTTCAAGAAACTTTATTGTACAAATTGTAAAGTTTAGATAAGCTTATCGCCATCGAATACATAAACGATGAACTTTTAATACATATTAATGAACATGGATTATTTTATAAACAATGGTAACATTTGAAGAATTTCCTTCCTTTTTCTTTATTAAGGATAAATGTTATATTTAATAAGTTAATCAATTTTTTTTTATTTTGTCAAATGTTATTTGCCCAGTTTGATTTTACTTAAAAACTATTAAGAAATCTTTTTTTCTCACATTTAATGATTTGACTTTGAGCGTTACAAATGTACAATATAAAATGAATTTTCTTTATAAATGCATTTTACAATATATATTGCATTGTAGATTTTAAATTTATTTACAAATAGTTTTTGTAAAATTAAGAAAAAAACATTAAAGCCTTTATATTGCAATAATATTGTTACACGTTCCAGTTACGTAAAAATTTATTTAGACTATAAATCAAAATTATTTATTTTTTTATTAAATGATTTAATTTTGGAAATATATAAAATTTCCATACTTTTAATTAATTAAATTTGCTAAGAATTCAATTTTGTAAATTTGAATTGGATATGTTACATTACAATATCATCTCATTTTTTTTTATAACAACATATATATCTATAAGATATGAACTTTAATTTTAATTTTTATGTGACTGGAATGTTATATATAAAAAATTATTTAAAAATGTAGAGTCAAGTAGAGAAAAATTAGTAAATTGTAAAAGATGATTATTTTTAAAAAAAAATAAAAAAAAAATTATTTATCAAAATTTATATATTTAATACGATTAAAGAAAAGAAAATTAATATTTTTTTTTTAAATCAGAAAAAAAATATATACAACTTAAGATGATTTATACATATATATATATATATTTCTCATCAGACTTTTGATCAAATTTTCTTTATTTTTGATATTATCTATTAATAGACAATCTTAATAATAATAATAATAATTTTTTTCTTTGTTCTTTTTTAATCTCAATAAGTTAGTATATAATTTCTGGTGAAAAATTGACTACTGTATAAAAAACTTATTATCTATTTAATCGTGTTAAAAATTTTTAGACATGGTAATGATGTAACAATATCATATGTTCTGTACAGTATAACTTTCTTAATCACTTTATGTTTATGAGATAAAGTTTGTGATATAATTAACGAATCACTATTCCATTTTTAAAATTCTTCCAATTCCTTCTTCTTCATTTGAAGAAATTCCTTTCATGAATATAGTTTATTACATTTCCAATAATCCTTTTTTCCCGTTCGATTTAATCAATATTTTCCATCAATATTTTCATTTGATATCAAATCGTTGGTAGAAGTTTATGTTCATTTTAACACCAGGAAGACCTTATATTGTAATATATAAAAAAAATACATATATATATTCCAAAGAGATTATAAATTATTTTAAAAATATCAAAAAAAAAAAAAAAGTAAAATTAAAATACGATAATAACTGTAATTAAGTAAAAATTCTTATAACAATATTTCTTCATTCTTTCAATATTTCTTCATTCTTTAAAGCAATATCGATGAATAACAAATATCAAACAGTTGATTAGAAAAAATAATTCGAAAAAATTTCAAAATAATTTAAATAAAAAGAAAAAGAAGAAAATAAATTTCGATTCCTCTTGGTCCCCACAGTATTAAAGATAAAATCTTTGGATACGTTAGATCATTACAAATATATTAATGTTTATGAATTTATAAATTAATCGATTCGCAGTCTCGATTGCTTTCAATGGCAGATGTGTGTTACAGTCTTTTTAAAAAACATTTCCTCTTTCTCGAATATATTTCTCTCACCACGGATAAAGAAACAAACGATAAATAATCTTAATAGACTAGAAAATTACCGTCGCGTTAACAATCGACGAATTTAAAAACGACGAAAAAGTTTATTCCACCAATTCGAATTTTTCTATATCATTTATTCTATACATAAGATACACGCTACATTTGCTTCTAAATTTCTAAACACACCGCATAAACGATATCATCATCAACGATTTTCATACAAATACAAAAATTCAACGATACTTAAATCAATTTGTCTCGTTAAGCTCTTTTCCTATAATTATTCCTCATTGTTTCTCATCGCCTTTCTCTCATTGGGACGGTTCGTTTTTAAAAAAAAAAAAAAAATCACCATATTTGTCTCGCACGATTCGAGATCGAAACTGGCAGTCAATTAGCTGATCGATCTTAATCGATCTTAATCGAACTTAACTTAATTCAAGTTTGTTCGATTCGTTTCTTCTCTTACTCTTGAGTTTCATTTTCAATTTCATCGAGTTTTCGTCGTATCCTCGACGAAAATAATGGGGAGAAAAATTTGATAAAAAAGACATATATATATATATGTGTGTGTGTGTGTATGTATGTGTGTACGCGCGATGAAACGAATTACGAAATGGAAACGGTGTCACTCAGTCGTTATTTCATCGATTGGAACGTCATTCACTTTTTCTCCTTTACACGGTTCGGGGCGGAATTACATCCGTGAAAGTTTGACGAGTTATTATTAAAAAAAACCGAAATTCGATAAACTTGTCGATCGAGCTCCCTCGAGTTCCCTTCGAGACTGGTCGTTTTTTCCTTTTCCCTTTTTTCTCTCCTCCTTTTTCCCCTGATGAAGTTTGAACGATGAAAGCATCTCTCGGTTGCCGAGGTATCTCATTAAAAAGCGAGTCGATTTGTTTAATCACCGGCTATGTCGTGGTCCTCCTCGGTTTCCGCTTCGTCCTCCGCTTCCTCCTCCTCCTCCTCCTCCTCCTCTTCCTCGCTTTCTACGCTTTGCACCAGCCTCGCGTATCTGCGCATGAAATAACATATATATATATATATATATATATATACACTTGATCTTTTTTTTGTTCGATTTTGTTTGTCGAACTGATTCACTTTTTAACTTTTTGTTTTCGTTTCCGTGAAAATTTTGGTAAAATTTTAATTCTCGCTCGGGATTATTTTCTGGCCCGTTTTGTGCCAGGCAATTTTAAAAGCGCGATCGATAAAAAAGAATTACTTGCCATAGGCAATTTAAACAGATTAAATCATCAAGTTAATCGCGTTAAAATGGATTAACACGCGGCATGTTATGAAAGCAACGATTAATCGATTGAAAAAAGTACTTCATAATATTCATATCACATCTCGTGCAATGAAATCCAATCAACTTTCGCCTGACTCCATTTCGAATACTTTATCATTTTTTTTTTAAAGGGATTGCCAAACAGTTAAAATTACACGAGGTGTTCGAGATACAATCTAAGATCATTCAATTGGTAATTTTGATCGAACATTATATGATTTTTTCATACATTTTATGGAATCATTTTCATACATTTTATGAAATATTTGTTACTTCGATCTAACGAACGTGTACAGG